TTTCTAAAAGAATATTAGAAAAGTTGGTTTTAATTAGAGAAAACAATGCATCGCTACTGTAAGCTTCGGCAGTTTTTTAAAGGCAGCACCCATGGAAAAATCGATTTTGATATTTTTGAATTTTTTGTACCCTAGCCACACGAGTTGCCATAAACCAAAGCAGGGGAGCACCAAAGTTAAAACTCACCGGGAAAATGTCAAAAACGTGCACATCTTGCTTATCCAAGTTATCTTATCCGAGTAAGCGGACGAGTTCCCCATTGACTTGTGCGTCGAAGAGGTAAGCTTTGGTGTGATTACACCAAACGCGCGTCAGGCTCAACGGCAGAAACGGCAGAAATTTTTATTTGGGACTGCGTTGTTGGTGTAATCACATCAACGCCTATTTCTTCGACGCACAAGACTCCGGAAAACTCGTCCGCTCACCCCATAAGTTGGGTAAGCGGGATGGACACGTTTCCGACGTTTTTTCGCTGAGTTTTTATTTCTGTGCTTTCTTACTTTGGCTCTGGGCAACCTATGCGACTAGGGTGCAAAAGAAATGACAAAATCTCAAATCGATTTTTTCCGTGGGTGCTGCCTTTAAATATCATACCTAAGCTTTACGCTCTAATTCCACAGAGATTTACGACCTTGAGAAATGTACATGACATTTTGAAGGTCCCTCATCTTACCCTCACCTTTGCCATGAACTGGGGCTAATCAGCGCAATGACCTCCAGCAAGCAGTGTTATGTTTCCGTCCCGCGTTAATCCCTAAATAAGGAGTTGTGATTTTTCGCGTCGCAAGGCCGCGCGCGTGCGTACAGGTGATGTTGTCCGCACATGCGATTAACCGATTAGCATATTCAGACAAAACAATAAGGGTGCATCCAGGCGTGTCAGCACTTCATTTGCAGGTGGATAATCACTGTAGCGGCTATAGCCTAATCCGCTGCTGTTGACAGACTTGTTTTTGAAGATGGAAGTAACCCAATAAGTGAAATTTGCCAGCTATTGGCAAGAAATGACTCCAGTTTGTCCCTGAATTTCCCACGAGGCCACTTCTAAGGACGAGGAGGCGATTGTTTGTTTTCGAACTTTCCGGTGTTTACCTATTTTCGTCCCATGCCGACAGTAATCCTTTTTTGGGAATACGCCTCGGCATCCTTGAAGGCGAATAACAATCTA